CACCTCGCAGATTCTCTTGCTGCTGTATAACGCGTGAAATTGGAGATTTAGCTGCGAAAGACTGGTGGTTTTAATTTGTACAAATAAGGCAAATTTGAAGAATTCAGTCTTCTGCGATATACCGTCGTGTAGATCTTATGGGAACCGACGTTTTAGAAGCTGCAGCAACCTACTCACGTTGGTTCCTCGCTCACAGATTTTTCTACCCTGAAGATGGAGGCGATTCGTTACTCCGAAGCGTCGGTTGACACAAAATCTACACGGCGCCATATCCAAGAAGGTGGCGTTCTTCATAGTCACCGCCGTGAAAACCTCAGCTCTTACATAATGCAAATTTTTCTGCGAGTGTTAAATCTCTCCCAGGCATTTCTATGGGGATCTACAATTTAAAATGAAAAAAATCGCTACACACGCCTCAGTAGACTCACAGAAGCAATCACTGTAAGGTAACTGTACCTGAGAGACCCGTCGACGGTGCAGTAACCACAAGTGCGCCATGTGGCAGCTGTCGGCCCAATAGAACGGTATGATGTCCCAAAGAAGCGAAGCAAATTCTGGTTATGTTATCGATTGGTTTCGGTTCCCCGGGGGTTTACCCGGATAAATAGCTACCCCGATTAACCAGAATCCACTGTATCAGTAAGACAGACAGTAAAGCTGTACATGAACAACAGAAATATGATTGTTATCAATAAATTCAGTACGCTGAACAGAAGTACAGTATTGCTATAAGCAGCGAAAATATAATTCGTAGCAAGAGAAATACAAATATCAGCAGAAGGTGAAGCCGTTGGGGTAAATGAGTAAGCATATTCATAGTAGACATAAATCATTAATATTGTCACGTATCGGGCGTATAACGCGACAGATAACTTCACGCCGTATTTGGTATAGCGAATTTTATTTCACATTCGCACTTACAGTCACCCAAATTACAAATTTACGATTACTGCTATCTGCAGTATCACAAATAGTACACTCCAAATGCCACAATACAACTGATTGGTTGCTGGCTAACTCGGCACTAACTCGGAGGTAGCTCGAGGACTGACTCGTAGGTAGCTCCAGGACTGACTGACTGACTCAGTACAACTGACTGTGAATAGCCTTCGCTGCTCCTTATGTAGCCTTGATCGGACAATACGGAAAACGGCCACGTAATAAGCACCCTTGTTGCCTGGCGCTGNCAGCAGCAGTAATGGTACTATGAGCATGGATTGTTACATATTGCTTGAGATGAAAGCATTGTCACGTATGGGGGGTTGCGTGACTAATAACAACTGGTTCTAGATTTGATGATTGGATTTATTGGAACTTCTTTACAATTACAAACAATTATAACCGCTCACACTTGACCACCGAGGACTCCTTTCATTCTGCTTCTCGTTCTATGACTGGCTACAAAGGACCTTCGTTGTCCTCTAAAAACTTCCGGCACGGACCTCGCACAGCGAACACATTGAGAACACCATATCCTAGCAATTACTCTATTGTTATAAAATTTGTGATTTTTTATTGTTGCCTGCGTTACCTCGAGAATGTATTTAACGAATGTTACTCAACAATGGACTGTTCCAATCTGTTGTCCCATGTTTTAACCAGCCGTTTTCTAGCAATGGACTACTCCATCACAGTTCTTTCTATGTGCTACAGAACACAGCTCTTACAAATGTTCCCTCAGCCAGCACCGTCATCACACCGGCCCACCGTCATGTCTCCATGACTCTCCTGCTGGATATAGACCACTGTACCCCTGAAGGCAGGCAGACGTAGAAACACTGTCACTGAGGACTGCTATGAGCTCGCTATGATGGACTGCTCCGACACCAGCCGCATAACAATCTGCTGATCGAGTCACGCGGGAAGACTGCCCAAAATAGGAAGGGGGGGGGTCTTTGTTCTTCTGAGCAGGAACAAACTTGAAGTAGGAACACGTGGTTATATGGGGTGGGGGAGCTGATGGGTGAGTTTTGGACGTGACTGGGACGGAATTCTTAATATTATCTTGGGTACACATACGGGGGTGTGTTGATTCTTAGAGACATATCATTTAGAATGTGTAGCCAGAGAAGGGCCGAATCTACTCCCATCTTATTTTGTAACAATATTCTTGGAATTAGCAATACCACGGCCGTTTCTACAATGAAATATGTAACTATATGTAACTAATATGTTTAGAACTCTTGAATGGAAGAGACTTGGGAGACCTAGGCATAGATGGGAGAAACGAAAAAAAATTAATCTGAACAGAATTTGGAGGGTGTGAATTGGATTCATATCACTCCTCCTAGTGTCGAGTGGTTTGGTGTTTCGAGCGCGGTGGTAAAAATTTGGTGTGCATAGAAGGCGGGAAATATTTGGACTGACTCAGTTAATGTTAGCTTCTAGAGGACACTGATCCACGGAGATAGGAAGTCACACATTTGTTCGTGGTTATCATAACCCTGCCACAATCATCGCCTCTGTTACTGTTACTACCATTGGCATAATCCAATCAGCTACTACTGCTACGGCTGCTTCTATTGCTGCTACTACTGCTACTACTACTACTACTACTACTGGGGGTACGCGGTAGCGTAGTTGGTTGAGTCACTATGCTACAAGCCAGAAGGTCGCCGTTCAATATCAGGAATATTATTCGGGGTAAAGGGCGGCCGGAGCGTAGGGCTGACAACCCTGCCACCATCTATAAGCCGGTTGTCTAGAAAATGTGGGAACCTCAACATCTCACAACCGTATGGGCCTCAACGGCCTTTAGTTACTTTACCACTACCACTACTACTACTACTACTACTGATACTACTACTACTACTACTACTACTACTACTACTACCACCACTACTACCACTACTACTACTACTACTACTAC